TACGACTGGATGCTGACTTCTATTCTCTATTGTTGGTCCTGTGATTTTTGCTGTATGGCTTTTGGTAATGATTTGTGGGACAGTGACATCTTTTAGATTGGGGCTGCTGGAGCTTGGGTTCTGTCCTTTTCGTGATTCTCATCGTTTTTTCTTGATGTGTTTGGGGGGTAGTTGGGTGCAACTCTTTGTAGTAGTTTGTTAGTTTTTACTAGGGTGGGTTGGTTCTAAATTCATTGGTGTTTCAGAGTTTTTTCCTCACGCAACTCTTGATGGGTTTTGTGATGATGTGCTAGCATTATGATATTGAGGTGATTTTTGTTAGTCCAACCTACGTTGCGAATTGGTTTGGTTCGTTATGACTGCCTTTGTGCAGCTATCTCCTTTTTTCTTTTATTGATGTAATAGTCTTTCGTTTCATCAATAAAGTTCTTTTTCTTTTGCTGATAAAAAAAAAAAAAAAGGGAGTATCATTTTGATCCCCTTTAAATTATAAAACGTACAAATAGACTCTTTTTAAAACTATTGATAAGTATCACTTTGATCTTTTTAAATTATTAAAAAGCGTTACAAATGGACCCCTAAATTATAAAACGTACAAATAGACCGCTTTTTAAACCATTGATAATAGTACACTTTGACCTCCAAATTCATTTAAAACGTTAGAACATAGAACCCTTTTAAACTATTGATAAGTATCATGTTTAATCCTAAATTAAAAACTGTTACAAATGGACCTCTTAAATATTAAACGTACTAATTAGACCTCCAATAAAGGGGTAAAGTGAAACACATCAATAGGTTTAGGGGTCATTGCTTTTATAAATTTAGGGAGCCAAAGCGACACTTTTCAATAGTTAATGCGATCTATTTGTATGTTTGTTATAGATTCAAAGGGATAAAAATGATACTTTTATGCCTAATATCACGGAAAATTCTATTTCACCACACCTAATTAATTAAAGGCAATCTGTTTCTCAATGTACACCACCTACACACCTATTTAATTTGATATTAACTAAACATTTCTCAATCTAACCCTCAAAATATACAATATACATTCATTTACATGGATATACACCCATTTCCGCAGCAATCCACACACTTTATTGCCTAGTTTCACAATTGTAGTATCATTTCACAAAGTGAAGACCAAACTGACTTTCGTTCTATTCAAAAAAAAATAAAGTAAATTGAATTTCGTTCAACAGGGCAAAAAAAAAAAAAAAAAATGGTCTTTGAACTTTCCACACCTCAAATGAAGACTTTGAATACTCCATTTGAACTTCCCTAAAAGCCATTGAAACACCTTGTTTAAGGTAAGGAATCTTCTCCATTTGATCATTTTGTTTATACATTGGTTGGCCAAGCAGCTTATAATTGGACATATCAAAAGGGTCTCATATTGGCTTGACGCACATTGCCTAGATAAATCGAGAAAATCTCACCAAGGTCTGTTAAACTTTTTCTTCAAGTTTGATTCTTTCCATAATATCTTCAATCCCATCGATTCTTGGCGTAGAGCGAGGGTTGTGACGATCAATGAGCTGTTAGAGAGTTTCATTTGGTCGATAGTCTTCTGCAATTGGAGAGTTGGGTTATGGGTAGAGAGAGAGTGTTGAATTGGGGTTTTTGAAGTTGGAAAGCTTGAGAAATTCATTGGGTTAACCAGTCTTTGTGGTTGAGAATTGTGGGATTATTCACTTTGCTTTATTTTTGGTTTTCCAAAAATAACTTTTCAAAAAATTTTTCTTTTTTGTTTTCCATAATTTTTTGTTTTTAACTATGGTTTTTTTTTAATATTTTTCGATTTTTTTTTTAATTGTTTAGACTCACACTAACGATATAATACACAAATAAAGTCATAATTTTTGTGAAAAAACTTTAAAAATTCACTAAATACCAAATAAAATAAAAAAAAAACGAGAATTCAATATATTTTTTCGTATTTTTTATATATTTTTTTTTTTAAAATTTTTTTCACAATTTTTTTACTTTTAAGATACATCTAAGTAGGTGCATCCTAAAAAAGTAAAAAATGCTTAAAAATTTCAAAAATAGTTGCATTTAACAAAAATTCAGTTTTAAAAAAACTTAATTCACAAATTTCAAACCAAACATACACATTGGAATTTGGGAGAATGACCATATGAAGAAACAAAGTATACATAATAAAAATAGAGTTTAATTTTTTAACTTCCAAAAGTGTATGTTAACAATTTTTATTCTAATAATGTGATTAGAGAAATTCTTATCTATTATATAATTATAGTGTTACTAAGTGTCATTATGGTCATTTTTTACTTAAAATATCAATCAATGTTTTTGGTCTTGAGTTTTTTTTGGATTCAGTTATTTGGAAAAATTAAGTTTTTTTGTTTATCCGTGTTTCTTTTTTAGTGACTTTTTTAAAATTTTAAATATTTTTTAAACTATTTAGGAGGGTGCCCACCTTATTATGAATGTATTCTAAGTAAAAAATTTTGTGAAAAAAATATTTAACAAAATTCATAAATTTGGAATGTATAAAGTACTGAAAAGTTGTCACATCACTTTCTACTTTACTGCACATCTTTTCCAGTAAAAAATCAAAAAATCTAATACTTTGTTCCAACGAGCCTGAATTCTCGTATTTTTTTTTAATATACTTTTTGGGTATAATAAATTTTTAAAAAAAGATTTTTTATATTTTTTCTACCTGTAAATATGTTATGTTTAATTATTAAAAATTAAAAAAAATTTAGTAAAAATTAAAAAAATATAAAATAAAAAATACAGATTTTCCTGAAATTCCTTTTTAAAACTTGAACAAGCGATTGTATTTATTTCCCACATATCAATCATCCTTTTTTACGACACATGATCATCCCCAAAATAATCCACCACTAATAGCATAATGCATTAAAAAAGTAAAAAAAAAATAAAATACAACCTCCAAGATACAAACATCACCATTATTATGGGCGGGAACCCATTTTCCACTAATATAGCTGGGAGCACTAATTAGTGCTCCCAAGCATTTTTCTATTACGAATGTTTGCTTTCTCTCTCCTCACGTGCCAAGCACCACTCTCACCAAATCACCGCCACTTTCTCTCTCCTTTTTCCCATTTTCAAATTCAAAAAACCACACTCCTTCCCTTTTACAGACCACTCTCAAAAGTGTTGAAAGAAAACATTTTCGCGAGAAAGAGAGAGAGAGAGAGAGTGTGAGTGAGCGAGATCTCCCTCCTTCCTCATCATCACTTCTCAGAGACATCTCCAATTTCAAAACCCCCAAACACCCTTCCCAAAACCCTATTCTCCACTCTCCACACCCCCAATTATTCACCGCCTCCAAACAAACCCCTCACTCCTCTTCCATTCTCCGTCGCCACCGCCCTTCTCTCGCTTCTTCCTCGGCTAGTTCCAAAGTCTCCCGCAGACTCAAAGCATTTGAGCTCGAACAGTGTAAATCGGCACGAAAGGCCCAAATCGACAGAGAAAAATCTCTTAAATCGCTCGCAAAATCGCTAACCGTATGGCTCAATTTCTTGCTTCAGAACCCAGTTTCATGTGGTTGCGATTTGTCGAAAATGACTGGTCAATATGGGTTTGAGGAATCGGATGTGAAATTGGTGTCTGGGAATGGGGAGAGGGAGAGCAGTCGAGGCGGTGGGGTTGGAGTGGATACTCCGTGGCGGTGCCCCAAGAGGCAGAGGGATTCGGGTTGGCGTGGCGTGGCGAGAGAAGAGAGTGCGGTGTTTTCGAATTCGAAGCTTTTGGCTTTGCAATCCTCGTTACGGGATGTTTGTAGTTTTGACGATTTGAAAGAGCGAATGAAGGTTTACTTGAGCTTGGGTAGTTGTAAAGAAATTTTCAATGTGATGACTCAAGTAACAAAGGTCTGTTTTTGAATTTGTCGTTATAATTTGCTTCTCATTGTATGATTGTTTCAAATGTATGTGTGCATATGTTGGTGTAGTTTAAGTTTGTATGGATCTAGTTTATGCTGATTAATGTTCTGAAGAATGCATTTTTTAACCAATATTTCATGCTAGAGTCGGATTTTGCTCATCTTTCAACCAACTTTTGAGTAGTGATCATTATTTTTTTTATTTTAAATCTGATTTTGTATTTCTGGATGTCTTGTTTGTTAGCGTTGGGCTATCTCCAACCCTTACTATACTTCTACTAAAATCAAGTAGAAGTTTGAGTAAAAAACTTCATTTGATATGAACTCAAATTTCAGTAAAATTGCCAAGTGTCAAGTTTTTAGTGGATGCTAGGGGTTCGAGTGGAGGAAAATTTGGGTAAAAGCATCTATATGTCAAGTTTTGATTGGATAGAAATTTGAGTAAAGGAAATGGGTCTCCCTTGATTGGAGTCAAAATTTCAGTAAAACTCAATTTGGTATAGGTTGGAGTAAAGGACTGGAGTGGATTTTAGTGCCTTTTTTATTCAAATTTAAGTCTAAGTCAAGATTTGGTTAAGCCTTGGAGATGCTGTTAGACATTAATTATCAACTTACCAATAGTTGTTATTTTCTTTATTGGAATCATTGATAGTGTATAGTTGCAAGTTTGTACTTACTTGCAGATTTGACTTAAAATTAGCTACAGCGTTGCTAATAATGGTTTTGAATGTTCTAATATAAATATCTGTTAGAATTCGTTCAAAGCATTTGATTATATTATTGCTTTACTATTCAGAATATAGATGAAGGAAGATTGAAAATGAAGCCACACTGCCCTATTGTAACAGATGTTGGGTTGAAGGAGAAGGCCTCGAGAATCCTTATGTGTTATAACCCAATTTGGCTCCGGATTGGGTTATGTATTATTTTTGGTGGTGATTCATTATTGTTAGACGAGGACATAAATTCTGAAAAGAAAATTGCATTCTTGAAGATGGTTATTGAGAAGCAGTTTTTTTTCTCATGCTGGTCTAGCTAGAGTTTATGCTTATGACAAGTTGGTTGAGGGTTTATATAGACCAGGTTACTTTGAGGCATTGGGGGATGTTATATTGAAGAGATTTTTGTTGCTTGTTCTTGTACTTGATAGAGCTTGTTAGGTCCCTGTGTTGTCAAATCCGGAGACAAAATCTTATGTTGATTCAAAACTATGTTTTTCTGTTTTTGTACTGTCCGCTCGAGCGGAGACTCTTGAGCTCGAGCGTAGATTAGCAGGTCTCAGTAGTTTGACAGGGCAAGCACAGATACTGGAAGGTGTGATTTGACGCTCGAGCGGAAACTCCTACGCTCGAGCGCATCTCTGTTTCTTCGTATGCAGTTTTTGTTCAGTCCGCTCGAGCGGGCTATGTTGAGCTCGAGCGGAGATCGCGGATTCAGATTCCTATTTAAAGCTGCTAACGTTGTTTGGTTGGACACGTTTTCCTAGATCTGATCAAAACATACTAGGGTTGAGTTTAAAAGTCTTCTTGGGAGATTTTTGAGAGTTT